TCACAGTTTCTGTGGGTCAGGGTCTGGCAGGGTGTGGTTGGGTTCTCTGCTTAGGGCCTTGTTAGGCCAAAATCAAGTGTCGGCCAGCTGAGTTCTCTTCAGGAGGCTCTGGGAAGGATCCAGAATGGGCATCCAGGCTCATCAGGCTGTTGGCAGAATTCAGTTCCTTGCAGTTGTAGGGCTGAGGTCCCATTTCCTTGCTGGCTGTAAACTGGAGGCTCCTAGAGGTCCCCTCCATCTTCAGGAACAAGCCTTGAATCTGCCTCGTGCTCTCCAGCCTCTGATTTCCTGGGCCCAGGTTTAGAGAGGGCTCATGTGATTGGCTCAGGCCCTCTACCTTAAGGTCAAGTGATTTGGGACTTTACGTCTGCAAAATCACTGCAGAGCAACACCTAGATTCATGTTCGATTGAATGCCTGGGGGAAGGTGTATCCAACAGGAGTGGGAATCGGGTCTGTGGAGGGGAAGGGGTATCTCAGAATTCTGTCCACAAGGATCTGCCAGATGGAACAGCACAAGAGGGCTTCAGATCCAGACAGCATGGTTCCAATCCCAGCTTTACAACCACTCAATAAATGGTTTAGGACACACAGCCTCTTTGGGCTTCTGTTTCCTCGCTTTGCAAAATTGGAGTAAGAACAACCTTGTTCGCCGGCCTGTAGTCCCAGCTACTCGGAAGGCTGAGGCAGGAGAATCACTTGAACCCAGGAGGCGGAGGTTGCAGTGAGCCAAGATGACACCGCTGCACCCCAGCCTGGGTGACAAAGCAAGACTCCATCACACACAGACGCACACACGAAACAGCCTTGTTAAAATTCATCCCGTGTGTTGATGCGCTGGCTGTAATATTCCCGCTATTGTTAGTCACTTGCTCCCAGAGCTGCCCTGCCCATTGCGAGAGCTCTTTTGTCTTTCTAGGTGGGAGAATCGTGTTTCCCCTGCCTTTACCACATTTTCCGCCTCTCTGGCTGGTGTCATGGTCCTTTAAGGAGAGTGAGCGCATTGACTCCGGGATCTAGGTCTCTCCAGTTTGGCAGCTGGCCCTGGCTTGGCATGAGAAATAAATGTCAGTGGGAAAAATCTTTTTAAAGATGTATGTATGTAGTAAAATGCATATCCAAACACAAACGTCGTTGCACATGTTGATGTGTCTTAAGAAACCGGGGGTAGGGAAGTTTGGTAGGTGGACGTTATTTTTCATCTCCTTTCTCATTGTATGGCGCATGGAAGATGAGATTTTGGCTTTAGCATTTCGCTGTGAGTGTCCTGTTTATTTCATGGTCATGGGCCTTTAGTACCAAATTTACTTGAAAACCTTGTGAAATTATTTATACAGAAAGAAAGAATGAGGAATCATGGGTAATGGGAAAGCAACCAGCCAGTTTTGCAAAAATTCCAACATGAGTGATTTAAAACTAATTGGAAAAACATGTCTCTTCTCAGTTGACTTAATCCTTTTTGCAGTGCTGGGTGCCATAAGCATTCTCAGAAGGTTTAAGGAGCATAATCAGCTCCCAAGTTGGTCTGCACAGTGACAAAAAAGGACAAAGGGCTCTGCCTGCATCTAAGGGTCATTCGGTCACGGCCAGCTCTGTCTCGGGGAACAAAGACCCTGTCTGTCATCAACCTTCCTGGCTAAGGCGAGGGAATGGGTTTGGGACAGTAGAGTGTGGGCACTTGTTCTGGCTGGAAACAGCCTTCAAAACAAGATTCCAGAGGCAGTTTGAGACCCAAACAGGAAAAGGAAATGCCCAGTGTTGAAGTACTCAGAGCGGAGGGGTCCCGAACCGTTTGATTGTAAGCACAGTGTTGGGTCCTTACGCACTTTTACAAAGTTGTTTTCAGAGATGCGGAAGTCGATGGTCCCCACTTTCTCTTCCTCATTGGAGTTCCCTGGAAAAGAGTGTTCCTAGGGACACATGATGTGACGGGGCCACAGCCCCACCAGTGTCCTTAAGAGGGAAACCTGTCAGCAGAGGGGACTGATCAGCCCGGGCTGATCACATGGACTATGCTAGGCCAGGATCTGCAGAAACCGATAGCCTGCCCTTAAAGCTCCCAAGTCAGACCCGGTTGGTCATGGTCCTGGCTTCACTAGCCAGTCTCAGTCCCTGGCTTCATCTTTTGGGGCCAACGCGATGTTGTTTGTGAGATGGAGAGAATGGCATTGCCCCTACCACCACCAGGGTGGCTTCAGGATGAAATTCAACACGGGAAGCACCCTCCCCCACCCCCATGGACTGAGAGGTGATACTATTAGAGTTATATGGGTTTGTGGTTTCCCCTTACTGTCTCCACTTCCTTCCTGAAACCCTGAAAGAGGCTTCGCAGGAAAGGAAGGGTCTTTCAGATGCCTGAGTGCAGCTGGGAATGACTGTCCCCAGTTAGCCAGGCTGGTTGGAGCCCAGAGTGATTTGGCTGGGTTGTGGGTTTGAACCACCAGAGTTACTGAGGCATAGCTGGCCCACTGCCTAGTGCTGCCAGCCATCCTACAAACGCCGCCATGGCTCATCCCTGGGAGATGCTCCAGCATTGAACAAAAGGGTTGCCGGGTCTTGTGCTGATCAGGACAGGCCACTCTAGAGTGATCTATCGACATACTGTAAGGACAGATCTGGGTCTTGTGCCTCCCAGGGACCCTGAGACCAGAATACACATGACAGGGCCCCAGCCCATGGGCACTGGCCCCTCGTTAGTATTAATTACTCACTTACGTGAAATGCACCTGCTCTT